CACTGGTGAAGCAAGGCGGTGCGTACGGCGGCCATTTCCACCCAACGTGGCTCTCCTATAAAGTGGCCGCTCTTGCTCCCAAGCTCCCCACAGGGCTGGCAGAGACCTTGTCAGGCCTGCATCATGATCTGGAGGCTCCCCTTGCCCAATCTTGGTCCCTCCGTTCTCATTCATAGGTGTGACACTCTCACAAACCTTTTACACATTTAACTCTGATTCATGTCTGCTTCCTGGAGAACCCAGCTATCATTGCCTCTTGGCCATCACCAGCTTCTCAGCCCGCCAGCACCTCAGATCTGCCACATCCAAGTTCCACACCTCACCTGCACCTCCAGTGTCTGCCTCGCCTGCCTTCCAGAGCCTCGGGCTCCTGGTCACACCAAACCTCAGCATGTTCTTGGATTCCTCTCCTCCCTCGTACCCCAAGCCCACTCACTCCCAAGTCATGGAGACGTCATCCATAGATGACAGAGACTCCTCTCTTTCCTTGGCATCTCTGCAGGGCCCAGGCAGGCACAGACCCTCCACCCTTCTTCCCTGGACACCTCCTGGCTGGGAGGCAGGTTCATTAAAAAGCCCAGGTTCCTGCTAGGAAACCACCCGTAGCCTTCCCACTACTGAAGCTGATTCAGGACAATTTCTCACCTTGTCAGTCAAGGCTCTCAGCAGTAGAGCCTTGGGCTGCATTTCCAGTCTGATCTGCCCTGAGTCCCATTCTCTTTACTCTGACAGAACTTGCCTGAAGCTTTCTGGCTTCTTCACCCTTGCTCCTGACGTTCTCTTGACCTGGAATTCCTTTCCTTCCATCTTTCACCTCTATCTGTCTACACACACTCTTCCTCCATGCGAGGTCTGGCTCAGATGCCAACTGCTGCAGGCCGATCCCCAAGGATGTCACCTGCTCTACCTTTCATTCTAGGCATGCCTGTAGTGGTGTGTTCCCTTCTGATGGATGTTGAGCCCTTTTAGGTTATAGACTAGGGACACTCTCTGTAGTTTTCTCCAAAGTGCCTGTAATAGTGCCTCGCATCTGCAGGCCCTCAGTCCACATGGGTTCCATGAAACTCAGCTAACACCCACCTGCCCCCCACCTCCGGCTGAGACCACCCCCACTGTACCAAAGAAGAGGCCCATCATTCTTTTCCATCTAAATGTGTAGGGGAACCTGCCAAAACTTTCTTTTCCCAAAAAAGATGGGATACAAATAATAAGTTCTCATGAAGAGTCAACCCACTTCTTTTTTCATCCCATTGAAGGAGAGTTACCATCCTCTGCACCACCTGCTCCTCTTACCCCCAATACCAGCTGCCCATAGCTCATCCTGGCCTCGGAAGGGCCGGTGTCCCGAGGGCGAGAAAAGATCTCCTTCAGGGAAGCCCCAGCTTTTAACAATTGTGCCAAAGCTGATTCCTGGTGGATGTGGATGTTGATGTGGCTGGGCTGGGACAGTGTAGAGACCACATCAACTCCATTCACGGTCACCATGTTTTGGGTCATCCTGCCTGCTGGGAAGAAGACGTAGAAAAGTGAGGTCTGAGAACCAGCGAAGATAAAAAGGAATATGTTGCATGAGTGAAGGGAGAGAAAACAGTCCCTTGTCAAGATCCAAAGGGTCTTCCCAGAGCAGGTAGCAGAGTCACAGTGGCCTTAATCTGGGATGCAAATCCAATCACCTCTAGAGTTCTTCACCACATATATTCTTGGGCCTCCCCCCAGAATGGTCTGACACGGTTTGTCTGGGTCTTGAGTTGGGCAATGAAAGGAATCTGAATTAGTTCAGGGACTTAATATATATATTTATACATAATACTTCCATATGGTTAAAAAATTCAAAAGATACAAAAGGATATACCTATAAAACCCTCCCTCCCATCTTTCTCTCCCAGCCACCTAGTTGCCTTCTAGTTGGAAACTAATATTATCATTTTTTATATATCCCACAATGACATTTTTTGCATAGAAAAGCATATAAAATATATTCTCCTCCCCCTTTTCCCACAAATGGCAGGATACTACATAAACTAACTGCGCAATGATTTGTTCACCGAATTGTGTTTTGAAGATAATCATACATCAGTCCATAAAATGCTTTCTCACTCATTTGTCTGGCTGCACAGTGTTCCTTTGTCTGAATGCATCATGATTGTTTTCAGCAGGCTCCTATTTCTTTTAAGATTTTATTTATTTATTTATTTATTTATTTATTTATTTATTTATTTATTTATGAAAGAGAGAAGGAGAGTGAGAAAGCATAAGCAGGGGGAGTGACAGAGAGAGAGGGAGAAACAGGCTCCCCAAGGAGCAGGGAGCCAAATGCGGGGCTCCATCCCAGGCCCCTGGGACCATGACCTGAGCCGAAGGCAGACGCTTAACCAACTGAGCCACCCAGGCACCCCTCAATCAGCTCCTATTGATAGACATCAATTTCCTCTTGCAAACAATGGGGAATTGGCAGGTCAATGGGAATATGCATGTGTCATTTCAATAAATATTGCCCTGTGTGGGGCTACCCCATGCCTTTCACAAGCAGAAGCAAGGTCAAGGAATGTCCACTGCCCCTCTCCATGGCCAGCAGGAGGTGTCAGCAGATTTTTTAATCTTTTTCAAATATATATCAGGAAAATTACATCCCTTTATAGATTTTATTCAGTTTTATGCAGCAAAATGCCCCCTTTTTGGTGGATATCTCAGCGAGGTTTGACAAATTCGTACATTTGTACAACCCCAACTACCATCAATATAGAGAACATTTCTGTGTTGCAAAAATTCCTTAAAGTTCTCTCCCCAATAAACCCCTCGACCCTGGCCCAAGGCAACCACTGATCTGCTTTCTGTGACTGTTCTAGTATAGTTTCAGTCCATAGTTCTCTTATTATGAGTGATATTGGTCATCTTTTCATGTGTTTAAGACACCTTTTTTCCTTCTTTTGTGAGCTCTCTGTCCATACCCAGGTCCTTCTTGTTTTACTGTTTTGTTTTGTATAGGATCTTGGATATTCGAAAATTATCATCTGTGACATGATTTCCAAATATTTCTTTGCAATTTATGATTTATTTTTTGATTAACCAGTTTCCATTTTTATTTTATTTCTGGATTTTATATCATACTTAAAAAGGACTTTACCACATCAAGATTATAAAATAATTCTTCCCTGTTTTCTTCTAAGTAGTGTTATGCTTTCAGTTTTCACATTTAAATGTTGATCCATCTGGGATTTATCTTGTAAGTTGGAAGGTACAGATCCAATTTATTGTGGGGTTTCTTTCCCCAGATGGTTAACTTCTGAAGGGTATGTTCTGTTTGAGGAATATATTATCTTTCTCCTACTGATTTAAAATGTTCTCCTGAGCAAAAATGAAATTCTCCTAGGAATTCAAATCTATTCTAGTGTTTATATTCTGTTCATTGGTGAGTCTGATGAGTCAGGCAACCTTGCCACTATTTTAACGATGAGTATGGGGTTTAATATTTAATTGAGTTATTTCGTGACCCTCCTCGTGTTATTTTTTCTTTCAGGGTCTTTTTTGCTAGGTTACTTCTCCATATGCACTTTGGAATCAATTGCAAAGCTCCAAAAGTAATTCTAATTGGCATCCTACTTTGGTATCACTGATGGAAATCACAACGGTATTAATAACGATTCTAACATTAGCAAGATGGCAACCCTAAAGTCTTCCCTTGTATTCTATGTCCTTTACAGAGCAGTGTCATTCTTGTGCCTACCTGGTCTCCTTAGAGGTATAAAGGACAGGTGTTGGACAATTCTGTGGACACACAAGTAGGTTCAGACTTGTTCACAGACACACACAAGGAAGTCTGGCCCGGATTCCAGCCAGATCTCCCCCTTGGGTCCCAGGAGCCAGCATCATGGGGCAGCCCTGAATGTGCCTTGGGCTCCAGCTCCCACTGAGCCCCTAGGTACCACCACTTCCCCCACGACACTCCAACCCTAGCTCAGCTGAGCCCCCTGCTCTTCTTCTGGACCAGGCTGGTCCCATGAAGACTCTCTTCCCACACCCCCCAGACTCCAGGGTGTGAGGCTCATCCCTGCTGCCCTGGTCACTCTCTCTATCTCGTTCCTCTCGGTGTTCCTGGAGCTGGGGAGAGAGGACCAGGACCCGTGCTACATCCTGGGCCCTCTACCTTCCAGCTTCACTCTGAAGGACCTCTCACCACCAGATCACCTGAGCTTCAGCCACCCCACCAGGAATAAAGGAGGGGTGAGGCCTGGTGAGGTTGCTGGAGCCAGACACATTCTCCTCCCCCTCCCCAGGTCACACCCTGTCTAGGGCATCCCTCCACACCCCTAGCAAGTCCTATGGGAACTGGGAGCAGCATCCCGTGAGATAGGATGGGGGCTTTGGGGACCAGCCTTGAAGACTCCTCAAGAGAGGAAGGTCCTATGGTGAGAGTCTCCTGGGAAGGGGCCACCTGGTCTGTAGGGACCCTGCTCACCTGCTGTCCTCTGGGAGCCTCAGCAGAGCAGGGCTGGGAGGATCCACTGGCAGCTAAAGACCAGTAGCTGGGAAGAGAAGAGCAGAAGGAAGAGGTGGAGGGAAGAGGGTCTGACCTTCAGCTTTGCAACTTCCCAGAAAACAGCTAGGGCAAAGGGGCCCCTCTAGGGGGATTCCATCTTGAGTAGATAACCAGGCTGGTGAGAAAGGCAGAGTGCACGCATATGAGTGCACACACACACGCACACTCATACGGACTCTCACAACACAGACGGGGCCCACACTCACAGCACCTGCAGACCTGTGTTGAGAAAGCACCTGCCCAAGTGGTCATGGGGGACTGGACAGCTTCCCGGGGTTTCCCAGGACTTATCAGCTTTATGGGCTCCCAGGCCACCCACCTCATGCCCATGCTCCAAGCCAGAGCCCAGGGATGGGCTGGCAGCTGGAAACCCCCCACACAGGGGCCCCTCTGCCTGGCTATCTTCCAGAGAGGTTGCTGCTAAAGTTCAGCAAGCCCCTCCTCCACCCTGCCCTTCTGGTGCTCCACCAACCTCCTCCTCCATCCGCCTGGTTCCCAGCTCCAGCTCCCGCTCAGCCCAGCCCAGCTGGCCATCCCTGTGGCACACTCAGCCCCGGGGACCCTAAGGAGAGCAGGTGAGGCGGGGCCGACAGCCAGGCAGCCCTTTCCCAGGACACTTCCCCACTGGACTCCTCACCTACCCCCTCACAGGCCTCCAAAGCCTGGCCCAGAGCTTGTTGGGAATGGAGAGAGGGAGGAACCAACCACCAGTGGACCATGGACTCTAGGAAGGTGGCAGGAGTAGAGACCAGGTGTCCCTGTTTGATGCCAAGTCAGGCTGGCCTTGACCTCTACCTTCACCTGCAACTGGTTCCTTCATTGTTGGGTGGGGGGAGCTTCAACAAGCCAGGTGGTGTGGAGTGACTATTGGTGGAGAGGGAGGTACTTAGGAGCTGAGGGGTGTCCCCAGGCCCATCTGCGGAGTAGCTACAGCAACAGGAGCTCAACAGGCAGTGGGGCCTGGGGTTCTGCCCCGTAGCCTGAGGGCTCAGGGTAGGGGTTGTGACAGCAGGCTGGCGGAAGAGGGTGGAGAGGTGAGGACTGCAGGGCACTGCTTGGTCCAGACCCTGACGCCGTGGGAGGATGAGGGGACAGCAGATCTGGGGGGAAGGGGGAGGTTCCAGCGGGCTCAGCGGTCGCCACTGTACCAGCAATCAGGCTGTCCTGACGCGACACCCTGGAGAAAGGGCCAAGGACATTGCTCTGTGACCAGAGACCTCCACCAGTCCCAACGGCCAATGGGATCTTTGAACACATCCTGCCAAATTTTCCTCGCTCACGCTTCCTTCCTCTCTCCCAGACAGATGTCCGCAGGCATGGGGACAGTAGACGGTGGTGAGGCGGACCCTGGGACCCCACAGCCCACCCACATCCACGTGCACATCCACCAGGAGTCAGCTCTGGCCACGCTCCTGATACGTGGGTGCTCCCTGCTTCGGTCCCCTGCCCCTGGTGCCACCTCCCAGACCTGGGGCAGAAGCCGGCTGCTGGTGGCATCCTGGGTGAGTAGGGGCCCAGAGGGGCGCCCAGGCTCCCCGTGTCAGGAGAAGAAGACCCTCCTTTTGCTGTGCACGCTCATGGCCAACCTCTCGGAACTGGAAGCTCAGCCAGTTTTATCTCCTTATTAGAAATCCAGATCGCCTGTGATCTATTTCTGACTTTTTTTACTCACTTACTGGCCTTCTCAATAAAAGCTGAAGGAGGGTGGGCTTTGGACTAAAAGGGTGCAGGGGAGCCATGGCCATTTACAGTCCTAGCCAGTGGAGCCCTGAGCCGCCCTCTCCCCTCTGCCAGACCTAGCGTGGGCTGGCTCACCCTCCTCCTTCCCCCTTCCCCTCTTTCTCCTTCACATGGTTCCTGTTGTTTATACCTGGAGTGGCAAGTCCTTAAAGCTGCTTGAGACGTGGGGGCAGAGTGTTGCTCCTGGGCCCAAGGATCTGGGAGCCAACTTCTTAGGTTCTTCTTCTTCCTCCAGGTGGTGCAGATCGTACTGGGGGTGTTGAGTGGAGTTCTGGGGAGCTTCCTCCAAATCTTCTATGGCTGCACCTTGTGTGGCTCAGGAACTGCCCTCTGGACAGGGGCTGTGGTGAGTCGGGCAGGAGGAGGGTTGATGGGTCAAGAAGGGACAGATTCGCCTCCTGTCAGAGGTGATAGACCGTCACTATCACCATCACCAGGATACTATAAAATGTCAGCAGTCGAAAAGCCCCGAAGTCATCGAGGCTGATTCGCTGTTTCTACAGATGAGAAAATAGCCGAGGGAAGTGGTGGTCTGACCAAAGTCACTTGGCCAGCTTTCGTGGTTTCCCGCCAGCCTGGCCGCCTCCCCCCAGGTTCAGCAGCAAACATCAACAAAAGACCTAGGACCCAGCTCATTTCCAGACACTTGCATTGAGATGGGGAGGCAGAACATACCAGAAAGGGTATAGTCTACAAGATAAGGTCAACTCCTGGTCATTTCCCATAGCTCTCTGCAGGTCCTCCACGCGGTGGGAATCTAATGGGTGCCACCAAAGGACAGTGGTGAATGTCCACAGGTGGGTGTGTGCGATCTGCAATAGGGGCTTGGGGGCAGGTCATGGTAGCACCAAGGGGCCCTTCGGCACACCCACACTCACAGAATATTGACTGAGAGAAGAGCCAAAAGTAATCATCCTCGTCCACCCAATGGCAAAACACTCAGATTAGTTACAGCATCACCAAACAGGATTCGAATCCATCTGTCCCCCGGGATGCACCAGACTTCCTGTTCTGTCGGCCCAGGTGCCGGGACAGGCGCCTGGACCAGAGGCCACCCACAGACCCATCCTGCACTGAGAGCTTCCCCAACAAGCTAGGGCTTCCACACCTCCATCTGGAACCGCCATAAAACACCATTGCTTTAAAAGGAGGGTTTTGGAGAAGGGAAGGAGGGGTCTTCAATGTCACTAAAACAGAGGGTCCTGCCACCTCGGGAGTTTGACCCAGGCCTAACTAACTACAGACAACAAAGCTTAGCTCAAAACCTCGGGTCCACATGGAGTGTTCCAAGGAAGGACCGGCCGATGGTTGGCTCTGTCCGTGGGGGTTACAAAGGGAAACAGAAGCAGGCAGCTGGAGGGCTTGTGTCTCCTGGGCTAGCCCCGGTCCTGCTTCCATCTGTCCCCAGGCTGTGCTGGCTGGAGCTGTCGCCTTCATTTACGAGAAACGGGGTGGCATCTACTGGGTGAGTTTGGGGAAGGGCAGGGGTGGGACGCCAGGCCCAGAAGTTGGAGGCCGGCCCAACCAAGCCTCCTGCCCGGAGCCCACCCGTGCCTCCCCGGCTGGGCTCCCGGAGAGACTGAGTCTCCCAGGTCTCATTCTGCCTCCTCTCCTCACCAGGCCTTGCTGAGGACCCTGCTCGCCCTGGCAGCTTTCTCCATGGCCATTGCCGCCATCGTCATTGGGGCTCGTAATTTCTATGAGCACCGCTTTTATTTTAGAGACTATATCTGTCATGTCTCCTCGACGGCCTGGTCCCAGGCCACCACGCCCCCTAGCACCCCAAGTCCAGAAGAAGCCAGAAGGATGCACCTGTGCCTCTCCTACCTGAGCATGCTGAAGGTGGGGGTGGGCGTGCAGAGGAAGGGGTGCAGCAGGCGCTGGGCAGGGAGGGCCAAGACGGTAGCTCATGTCACCTGTTCCACACCCAGCTAGACGACTGTCACCACAGCTGTGGCATTGAGCAGACTAGAAACAGTCCCTGTGCTTGGCGGTGTTCCAGACTCATGGAAAACACAAACATTGAAATAATCATAAATGAACCAGTGTTGCAAGGGTGCAAAGTGCTGCAGAGGGATTAAATGCACGTCCTCCCTGGATCCTCTTCAGCCTTCGGGCTGCCAGGGCACCGAATCGTAGCCCGAGCCTGTCACTGTTCAGATGAGGACACTGAGGCCTGATGAGAGGGGTTTCTGGCTGCTCTCTGCATGCTAGACTCGTCAACACCCCCTCCCTCGTGCAGGGCTCCTTCCTCAGCGCCTCCAGAAGCTACAGATGTGAGGATGAAGGGGGAGAGAGAGGCCCTGTGTTGGAAATGAGGGAGAGACAGAGATGGCACAGTCACTCTGGTGCCAACAGCTTTGGTCCTCTGTCCCCAGGCCCTGTTCATAAGCTTTCCGGTCATGCTGTTGGGTGTCTGGGTTCTGCTGCTTCTGGCATCTCTGGTGCCCCTGTGTCTATACTGCTGGAGAAGGTCCAGATGTAAGAAGGTGAGTCCCTAAAGTATGTGTCTGTGTTTGGGCGGCAGGGGTGTCCAGAGGAGCAGAGATGGAGAAGGCGTGGCTTGGGGAGGGAAAGGAACCCTTACAGTGAGTCCCAAGGGCCATCGTGCCTATGTTTCTACCCCAGTGGGGGCCCAGCCTGAAGAGCCCCTGTCCCTGACCAAGTGGCCCCCAGGACAAAGACCCCAGGAAGTCAGGAAAGTCCGTATCCATGGTGGGACGCTGGGGCTCTTGGCGTCAGGTACTATAAGGCTAGTGCTGGATCCGGCTGGCTCCAGAACGAAGCTGTGCTGGAGGAAAGAATTTGCACCTCCTCTCCCTACACTATCCTGCCCCTCTGCCTCCCTCAGGAAACAGACCAGAAGAAACTGCTGGAAGTGAGTGAAATCTAGCTCTGCTTCTCCTGAGTGCTCATGCCTGGACTCTTTCTGGACTGGGCGTCCCTGTCTCTGGCTCCTGGGAGAAGGACCGGGCTGGGGAAAAGGGACCCTGCACTAGCTCTAGTTATCCTTCCTTCCCCCTCCCCCACCCCTGCCATGGCCAAGCACTGCCACGGCCCCCTCCACCAATCATCACACCACTCTTGCCCATTTCTGGCTCACCTTTCACACTCCCGCCCTGCTTCACGGCCCCTCATGAGCAGTGATGACAATAAGCTGTCCTGTTGTTTCTCCCAGCTTCTTGCTTAGTTATTCCAGGGAATTTCTCTTGGCTGGGCAAGGCAGAGGAGGATGAGCCAACACAATCCTACAATGCTCCTCCATCTCCCAACCTCCCACCTGGGTCAGGAGTTGCCGGCCTTGAAAGTAAACTCTCTTGGAGGCTGGTTCTGGGACTGGAGGTCCAAATGCCTGCGCACCAAGGGTGAAGGGGGCAGGGACTCTGAGCCCCTCTCCCTGAAATTCAGATTTAAGAGACTGAACGCTGGGCAAACTGAGAATTGGATTTTTTTTTTTTTTGGCTGTTTGGAAATAGTAAGAAATAGATAATATAACGCCAAAATGCAGTCACTTTGGAAATATTTCGTGAAAAACAGACGATGACATAGGAACCCTGAATACGTCCCATGAAAAAGTACCCACGACTGCGAGACACGCCACGAATCATGTATGTTTAAGGTCGTGGCTACCTTGAATAGGCCCCAAGAGAAGTAGGAGCATGAATTCAGAGGGCTGAGTCTTGAAATTAGTATCATGTCCGCAAGCATGCACACACTCAGTGCTCCACTGGAAGGATCCGCAGGACTCCACACAGGGTTGTACACGGTGGCCACACAGTAACACTGTTCAAAGGTGGACTTTGAGACCAGAAAACGAAGAGGCCACTCCATAAAGTTTACACACAGTTTGATTCAGGCTCACGTACTGACGGGCGGTCCACGGCAGCTACAGAGTTACTCTCTGCAAAGTCCAGACATCAGTCCTCAGATTTTGTAGAGCGACCACACATGAAGAAGGGCGCTGTCGTGAGATCAAAGGGTTCACATGCACATCAGACAGCTTGCGTGCTCCTAATTGACAGCGACCCTTCATTTGGACCTTGTGGCACTCCTGTGCATCAGGAAGGGGAAAGACTATGTTATCTCTAACAGATGGGGGGCTCCCTATCCCGACCTTGGCTGGCATTTCTATCTAGCAAACATGAACAAGATGGGGGGCCAAGGACGAAGCAGTATTGTCAGCTCTGCTACAAACACATAGGCAGTGTTTCTGCTCAAGGAAGCCCACTGAAGACTCAGAGCCCAGGGTTTTTACTGGAAGCTCTCAAATAAAATACATAAAAAAAATCTTTAAACACATCAGAGTAAAATTTCAGACCAAGAGAATGTATTAAAAGCAGTCAATGGCAGCATTATATCACATCCTTCCTGGCAAGGAATGAGTAGATTAAAGGGGTACGAGGTCTTTGTGTTGTTTGGAAAAGAAGTAAAGATGTTGCTTATATTTAGCATTTGTCAGCTCATTCATTTATGTGTTCATCCACTTAACACCTAAATTTAAGTGTTTTAGTAATTCAATAGTAATTCCAAAAAAATAGGAAAAAAAATCATAAAACTTTAAATTGCAGTTTGGAGAAAACTAGAGAATGAGAAAAAATTCAGTTAATAAAAAATAAGAACGGAGAAAAGATAAAAAAAAAAAACACAAAACATTTTAAAAAGCAAAACAGGGGCGCCTGGGTGGCTCAGTTGGCTAAGTGTCCGATTCTTGATCTCAACTCAGGTCTTGATCTCAGGGTCATGAGTTCAAGCTCTGCATTGGGCTCCACACTGGGCATGGAGCCTACTTAAAAAAAAAAAAAAAAAGGCAAAACAAATAGAAAGCAGACAATAGAAAATGGCTATAAATTAAGTTATACGAGTATTTGCAGTAAGTACAAATGGACTAAATAATCCCCTTAAAATGCAAAGATAGACTGCATTTTTATAAAATTCATCCATATGCCGTTTACAAGAAACACATCTAAAACAAGGGTACGGAAAGATTTTGACAGTAAGAGGACACAACAATTACATATTGTTTATATAATACAAATATTTTTGTTATATAACAAATAAGTTGCTACAGCTCTGTTAAAATCAGACTCTGAGGCAGAGAGCATTCCTACGGATGAAGAAGCCACTGTGGTCCATCCGGCAGGCACTCTCTCCTTCCTTCTCCCGTTTCATCCATTCCGTCCCGGAGCCATCCTGTAGCAAGAAGGGTACTATCCATGGGCTGGAGATGGTGCAAAGGGAGCCCCAAGGAGCGAGTGCCTTCTATAGCATAACTGCATGTGCCAAACCAGCCCTGGATTGCTCACCTTTTAATATGTGTATATGAGAAAAATTAATTCCTTACTGATTTTAAAGAAAGAGAAAACAGCTTCTTAAAGAAGCCATTTATAATAGCAATGAAACCGTAAGTTACTTACGACCAAATCTATATATTCAAGACATTAAGAAAATTATTGGGAAATGTTTACAAATACCTGAATAAATAGAAATACATATACCATGTCCATAGAAGGGAGGACTCAGTTTTCAAATGGATGCATAAATTCAGCGCAATTCCAATCAGAATCTCAACAGACTTTCTTAGTACTTGCTTATCCAATTCTCCAATTGATACAGATCAAAAGACCAAGAAGAGCAAAGACAATCTCACTGTCCTGTGAAACCCAAATAAGGAGTTGGACAAGGCAGGCATTCGGACCAGAAAGCTCTCCAGCTGGCAGAGCCAAACCAGAGACAACAGGGAGAATGAAGCAGGCACTGTGCTCTGGACAAGTTCTGAGTCTGAAGTCAGAAGACCGGAGCACAAATCTCGGCACTGCCACTTACTAGCTCCTCAACCTTAGGTCAGTTACAAAGACCTCCTGGGCAATAGTCTTTTCACTTTCAAAATGGGAGCAATTATACCTAAAACCCAGGGATAATGGAAGGATTTAGTGATAAATATAAACCAAACAGTGTCTAAAAATTGGACACCTCGCAGTATAAATTTGTCGAACAAATGTGGATTACTTTCAAGAAGAAGCGCCATTTGGGCCTATGTGAATAAAATGAGAGTCAGAGGAGAAGAATTGAGGTATGATCAACCAGCATCAGATCAAAGGGTGAGACAGTCAGGCTCGTATTTTACTTGAATTGTCTGGACCCTGTGCATGGCCCCTCGAAATCCTACCACCTGTGTATGCCCAGGATGGTCCTATCTATATATATATATATAACCCACAGAAGGGTTCTGCTTTGCTCTGTTCGAGTCCAGTGAGTGGGAGTTCAGACACAATGACCCACTGACCATATTACTTCTGGCCCACAATACAGACTTGCCAGTGCCTCAGATCTGGTGAGTTCTACATTTCCCTAGACATGCTCCTGACTCTGCGCCGACTTCCACCAGAAAGGGTTTCCACAACTTGCAGGAGGGCAATCCAGTCTCCGATCTTCATGCAAGGCTGTCTTGACCATTCCCGACACACCTAGCTTTGTGCTTGCTCTTGGCTTCTTCAAAATCGAAGAATGTGTTCTTTATACCGACATATCTCAAAACTAAAATGAAAAGCAGGGAGATGGATAACAGGAAAATCAGGATAGCAGTTTCCTCCCAGCAGGGGTGAATGGGGAGGGGGAAGGTGTATCTACAGAGAACTGCATAGAGGTCTACTATAGTGATCACAGTTTCTTCTTAACCTAGTTGGTGGACACATTATGATTATGATTATGAAAACTGCACATATCTATTTTCTATCCTCTTCTGTATGAATGAGATAATCACAATAAAAAGTACACATCAGGACTTCCTTTGCTTGAGTTAATTTCAAGACAATGTAAAACAATGACTAGTGCAAAAGTTATTAATTCTATCAACTGGTGTAAAACTTATCAGTGATAATCAAATAGACCTTTTTTCTTCAGGATGCCCAAATTCAGAAAAGGATCAAAAGCAGGCGAAGACAATGGGAGACAGCTGCCTGTTCAGGGGTCAGGGGTCCTCAGGAATGGTGGGGGTGACAGAGTAAGGCTGATCGTGAGCCCCCCAAACCACTCTATCTGTCACGGTCCAGAAGTGTTTGATAAAGGGACTATGTACAAGGGGGCCAGCAAAGTGTAGGAAGCTATAAGTGACAGAACCATACTGGGGTTTGTAACCAAGGGCAGTGGCAGGGGGAGGTGGGGGGATCAGAGAGGATGTCATTACCCTTCAGCCCAAAAGATGAGGAAAGGGAACACTGTGTCTCAGCCAGAGACGGAGAAAGCTGATGGAGGTGGTGCTTGATTTGAGCTGTCACCTTCCCAGAGAAACACAGCCAGCCTGAGATGACCTTTCAGGGAGGGATCCTAGGGAATAAATACCCAAACTACCCCACTCTGATCTCTTGCTAGTGTTCCCTATTGACCAAACCCAACATCATAGAACATGAGAGCTTACTGATGTGATCAACGTAAGACTCTCTTTGGGGGCACAGAGAAAGCTAGAGAAAGGTAGAAAGACTGTCTGGAGAGGCAAATGAAAGCTATCCAGAAGAATGACTTTTGTTTGTGTGAAGAAATATGGTTGAAAACTTCCCAAATTTGGTGAAAGCCATAAACCTCAAGATTCAGGAAGCGCAATGAACCCTACACAGAACAAACTCAAAGAAGTAACACGCATAGATTTGTCAGGATCAAACTGCTAAAAACTAAAGACAAAGAAAAAATCTTGAAAACACCCAAACAAAAATGACCCATTACCTATAGAGAAGAATGATCCAAATTTCTGTGGTTTCTCATCAGAAACCGTGATGGCCAGGGAAAGTGGCACAATATTTTTTGTAATTGTTAAGTACAGGCACAATGTGGTATAGAAACATCTTAGTGTGACTGAACAAGGTGTAGCACAAAGGAGGTCTGGGGGGCAATGGTACTGTTCTTTATCCTGATCATGGTGTTGGTTATGCGAATCTATGCATGTATTAAAACTCACAGAACAGTTCATGGAACAAACAAAAAGGTCAGTTTTACCATAATGATAAAGAGATAAATTTGGGATTATTTGCCTGTCTCTATCTCAAAATCTCAGAGTCATTTCCATATATATATCTTCATTTTCCCCATCAAAACAGATACTTCAAGATTGTGATCTTAGCTGTATTTTCAAATAAACACATCGTTTTTGAGGGGTTTTAGCATGGGTTTTTGTTTTTTAATGAAAAGCAGGGATGGCATGACATCTGATTTCCTGCAGAAAAGAAACCAAAGACCAGGAACTCTGTGAAGCTGCTGTGAAGGAGGGAAGGGAAGAGGGGTAGGGGGACTGAGGGGGAGCTGTGGACGTGGCTTGTAAAGGAGCCAGGTTTTCTCCGAGGCTCAGATCTGCCAGATGCAATAAACAAAGGAGGTTTTGCCAGATTCCGACAGTAAAACACCACTTCTGAGCAGAAGGGTGAACTGAGTTGACATTCGTTTATCTGAATGAAGAACAGAAAGAACTTACATCCAGTCGAGCCATAAAAGGACTGATTTAGAAACCAGATGGAAGAGAAATCCGTACCATCTTTAGCTTGAGGAAGTAATTCACCAGGGTCTTTATTTTAACTTTGCAAACATTTCTTATGACAGTATGTTTTCGAAACTTAATAGTTGAGTTCAAAAACAAAATTAAAGCAAGATTCGATTTAAATTCAAATCCCCAATTCCATAACTGAATTCCCCCTTATAAGTCACGTAGATGTGATTAACCTTGCCACCTAGTGGCTACTAAAAGTTTTCTTTCTTTTTTTTTTTTTT